TTTGGCTAACCAATACCTGACCCCCAAGTCAGCGGGGCGGTGTGCAAAAGCCTCGATCCATTGGGGGTCGGTGTCCAGTTCATACGCCCCTTGGACGGGTTCAAACGTCCAAAGTGCCTAATCCCGATAACCAATTGAACCGGTGACCACTGCCACAACCAGAAATGTGTATGCGTGGTTCATACACCTGCTCGTTTGGTTTGGAATCAGGGGTTTTAGCGAATTATTCCAGGTGAACTGTCAGTCGTTCACCGACCCGGTTATAGCCCCAGATGTTGCCTTCTGTCCTCCCTCATTGGTGTGAAAACACCCCGGCCCCACGAGAAAGCAGTGAGTAGGGCTTCCTTAGCAGAGGCCATTCGAGACGCTTGGTCGTATGGACGCATTCCGCGAACGTGACCAGCCACAACCGGTGCCACCCGACCCCCCAACCATACTGAGACTTTCGGAGGCCATTCGATAAGGTCCTTCTCAATTACCCCACATAAACTCATGCACCCGGTTGCGGTTTACTTGTCACATATCTATTGTAATCAATCAAAGACGCACAGGTGAATTGCGGGAATTTTATTTGTTTGTGAATGCCGTATTCTTAGAATTCTATATTTTTATGCAGCAACTGAATGTACACTACCAAGAATAACATTTTGGTCTTATTGGTCATCCTGGGAATGAGGGCGCTATCTGATTTGATTTTTTCAGAAAGGATAGAAGTGCATCGACAGTTGGAGTCGGCCAACCAAGTTGTTATATTCTATTCGTTGCCTTGGTTGTCACCAATGCAGTAGGGTCGACGATTTGCGGTGGTAGCTGTCCGTCCAGATCCGTTTTCTCTTCATTCTGCAGATGTTTTCCGGCCAAAACGATGTTTCCTTGGTAATATGTATTATTCAATGCACTAATCGTTCGAACTAACCAATCAATGTTGCCTACGTATTTCACATCTCATAGTTAATCTTCGGCAGCATACCATTTAAATCCAGCATTTTAGAAAAATTTGGTAAATTCTTAGGTGCCGTACTGACCTTCAAATAGGATATCCCATGGTGTATTGATTTGCGTATAATGTTGATCGCCCCGGCCTTCGAATGGAATACGGAAACTGGTAATAGTCCATGCTTCGTCAACACGCTTTACATACTTCGGCTCATGTATGGTCATTTCTTTTAAATCGTGTGATCATTGCGTGCCATTTTGTTATAACTCATTGAAAAGTGCCACGCTAATTTCATGTTGATCAATCTTCCCTATTTGTTTAGGTCTGTTTGCTACAAGAGCCATTACTGCGAACGAAGAGTTAACTTTAGACTACGTTCTGGCTGATTTTCTTGCTACCGGACTGATGGGTTCGCAGAGCCTGTGTCTTTGCGGTACTGACACTTGTGTCAGTACATTGCACTTACCTGCAAGTTTTCCCCCGGTCACTACCACTGCCAGTAAAACAGAAGAGTTCCCGCAACCGGAAACCGCACGTTCGCCGGCTCCGGAACGGCGCAAATCCAGACGCACTGACCCTCAGGCTACAGAAACCAAACCAGAACAGGAAAAGCCTGAACGCAGCGAACAGGTGTTATCTGTTGCTAATCTGCTGGCCGCGGCTGCTTTAAATCGTTCATCCGCACGACGCCCCTTGATTCAACCGAGCACCGCCGCTGCGCGTGCATCGAAAGAGCTGGGCAAAGCAGCACCTGTCACTCTTTCGAATAGGGCTACGACTAAGTCAGCTCAAAGCAAGATCGAAGAAAGTTTACCGCTGACTCTCCGGCCTCCTCCACATGAAGACTTTTGTTACCGGTCAGTTGCTCAATTCGTATGCGTACAGTGCTGTCTCTATGCTGTTGATAATTTGTGCTCACATTTGAACTTCCGGTAGTCGTTTTAAACTGCTGATGCATACCAGGTCAAATAACGTTTCTATTTAAGAACCGAAAATTCGTCCTTTAGGTGCATAAACTGTTTCTTGACTGGTCTTGAAGTACCGGTGCATTTGTATATCCGAAGCTCAAAAATTGTTGTCTTCAGTCTAATTTGTAACAATGCATTTACAACCAGTAACAACAAAATAAAGATCTGCACTATAAATGAGGTTATTTAAAGTTGTTTGTATCCCCAAGAACGATATATCGACTTGGGCTTTTTGGATGTGGACTATTTTGTGGTCTCGAAATTACTAGTTGTACCGGCACAGTTTTTTAAATAAAAATAGTGAGCATCATATGAGTGTAAATGGAAAATGAAAAACGGTCTGTCCAGTCGAGTGGGTAGCATGATTGCGTTATGCTTATGAGGTTCCGAGTTTGATCCCCAGTTGGGTCGATGGATTCTTACTGCTGCTGANGACCCAACCAGGTCAAAACAGCTGTCCAGTGGTTCTTAGCTTTTCAGTTCACGCTTCATTTGCTATATACACGACAAATTTACCTTTGACATAATGTACATCTTTCAAGCCCATCCGATTTGACATCGAACCCCAAAGGATCGCTCCTTTTTGTCTGTGGGCATTCATATTTTTTTAGCTTATTGTAATAACTTCTGTAGGCAAAAAGCCTACATCTCAGTTAAAAATATACATGTTGGAGCACGGGAGAATATAAAGATGGTGAAAAATGGGAGATTTAAATTCTAAAACTGTTGACAAAGTCTGTGAAAACCTGTTCTTTGTTAACTAAAATACGTGCTGATGAGGGTACTGCAGAGTTACGATATATTATTGTTGTCCTTCGGAGAAGTAAGCATTCAGCAGTCACTACAATTCAAACAAAATGAATAGCGAAGTGGGAACTCATCAACGGGCAGATCAACCGAGTTTTCGCCTAATTGCAATTGTGCTCAAACCGATTGCGCAACTTGGCCACGTAAAGCGTGACGGGAGAAGGACTCGTCTGTTAGTTCCAGTAGGTGTTGGAATCTGGCGCGAGTGCTCGACAGTTACCTGCATTTGCGTACGTTGGTGTGTGTGCGGGGGTGTGAGGTTGGCAACAAATCTTCATCAGATTGGTTTTTCGGTTCTCGGAACTGGTTTATAGCCATTTTGTCGATAGTTTGGATGCTTTATTTCGTTTGAAAAAAAGTGAAATAGAAAAATGCATTTACATAGAATTGCTTTTTTATAGCTCGATCTTATTTTTTCTCATTGTCCTGAAGTTGAACGTGTCAGTCGTTCGGTTGTCAGTTTTATCAGGCGTCTACCGATAGCTCTGGTTCCCCAGTGGTTCTCCGGGGAGTAAATCACCAGCCGAACCTCCATTGAGACCACTTATTTGATCATCAGATCGTGTTGGTATCAATTGAGATGAATTATGAGAAGTATTAATTTCGACTCTAATCTGCAATCTGTCTACCCCTCCCCGCACCTTCTCACACAATAGATGTGGTGATGGCGGCGAACTACTTTTGTGTGACAAAACTTCCTGTCCGAAAGCGTTCCATCTCAGTTGTCTAGGCCTGTCGAGCCCACCAGCCGGGATCTGGTATTGTCCGTGGCATTATTGTGACCAGTGCGGTCACCCGTCCACACATTTGTGTTGGCGATGTCCCAATTCCTATTGTCCTGAGCATGCTATCGAAGCACTCATACAGGTGGATGAATTGGATCGCGAAAGATGGACTATGGCCCAGGACTGTATGAACACAATCACC